AGAGACTCCGGAAAACTCGCGATGTGTAAGTAGTTACATTGGCCTCTTGTCTCCTCTCATAGTATATATGGTACCAAGCTTTCCTTATTATTCTTTTTTGTTGTCTTTGATCAGTTATTACTATCCTTCTGCTCCATTATCAAAATATAGGCTTCGATCACAAGCCGAGGTCGAAAAGTAAGTTTTTAGTACTCATTTTGCTCTTTTTTTTAGCATTCCAACTTCCCATAACTTGCATAACATCATCCTTTTTCAAAAGTGTCATGTAATTTTATAAGAAACCAGTTTGTTGATTGGCTGATTTGCAGATTTTCTTATCTCCTTATTTAAACATATATAAGTATTACGTCTCGGGGTATTCTGATACTTAGGGTTTTATGCTTTTGGAGTTCAATCTCCCTAGTGCAATGTAGTTCAAAGAGTTTATCGATCCAATTGAGTGTGATGCAAACAATTATGATTGCAACAAAAGCTAACAAGTTATGCCAAGCAAATAGCAATTTAAACTATCAATCTAAGTGCAAAAAAGTCAATGACAGAAATAAACTAAGAATGAAGAACAAGAGTAAACAGAAATGAAACAAGCTTAAACTAAGGCAAGTGACAATATGAAACTAAAGCAGAAGATAGACTAAGTAATGCAAGAACTAAGTATAACAGAAATGAAGCTAGCAAATAATCAAAAGAGTTTAGGCCTCAAGGATGCGGTAATCGATTTCAGTGGAGTATCTTAATCTTATTTAGAATGCCTCAAAAACTCAATCAAGCTATTCCTTAGACAGTGAACTTCTAAACCTAGTCAATCTAATCTCTTGGCAGACACTATCAAGTCTAATGCATTTCCTAATCTCAAATCTCTTTGATGAAATATGCAATAAACATGCATTAAGTATCAATTCACTACTGTCACTAAACACCTTAGACAACCAATATCTTGGGTTAAGCATGTAAATCTCTTGCACTAGCTGGTTCAGACATTTCTTCAAACACCTTTCGGGCATGAAATGTCTATGACCTAGTTCCAATTGATCAGAGAAGAACTAGCTAATGGTACTCTAATCCAGAAGAGAAATCAAGCAATTCTACACTTAGGAATCCTAATAGAATAAGATTCTCCACCTAATCTATCCCGTTCTCAAGAACCCTAAAACTATTTAAACCTAGAAAACATTAAAACAAGCATTATCAGAGAGATCAGGATCTAAAGAGCAATATTGAACAAAGAAGCAAGTGGAAATTCTAAATAGATCAAATGATATTAAGTCTAAAAGTTTCTGGAAATTTGGTGGCTAAGGGCATATGCATTGGTAGGACTTGTTTTTGTCCCAAAAAAAAAATTATGATTTAAAGAAAAAAAACAAGAACAAAAAGATAACCAATCGCGGGCCGCCACGTGTCAATGGGGCCCGCGAATAGTGGAAAACAAGGAAAAGGACCGTCCCGTTTCTGCGTATGTCCCTCTTCAATTTGTTCTTTTTGATTACTTTTTTCTTTTTGGGTGGGGGACTGGGCATGAATACGCCATTACACATGGTCTAAGAGAGATAAACTTTAGAAGAAAAGGGAAATTTTTTACAAATGAGAGAAATGGGCTATTTATAAGAAGAGAGGAACACCCTAATTCACTAGCAGAAAAAGTAGAAAGTCGGTCATAAGTGCTCGATCGGGAGCTCGATCCACAGCTAGGTCGAGTGGTTAGTCGTGTGCATTGGTCGAGCATCAGTCTTCGTTCCTTCCACTCGACCGGGTGCTGGACTAGGTGTATATACGTACAGTAAAACATTGATAACTCTTAAACCACAGCCCTGATTGGCTTGAAATTACCACCATTGGAAAGCTTATTTAATTTGCTACAACTTTTATGAAGGGATTGGAAGCTAAATCTAAAAGTAAGATCTCCATTCGGTTCGATCTATGAAGGGCTTGTTGTGCACACGATTGAATAGTAGGTCGAGTGGTATAGTCGAGTGCTTCCATTTTCCTTCTTTATTCTCCATATCCTCAGGAATAACATCAGCTCTTTCCATAGCCCTTAGAAGTCCTAAAATCCTGATAATACTCCACATGCATAGATGTATGCTAATGCAAAAAGATTTAAGTATGCAAAGCACAAAATAAAGACTCTAAAACCTATGAAACATGTTTTAAACTATGAAAACTAAGGACTAAATGCATGCTAAAAAGAGATAAAATACATATCATATCCATGTCTTACCATGTTTCCAACTTATATAATTAGGAATTAGTAGGATTGTGTAGGAACATGTAGTTGGAACCTCAGGTACGTTACTTTTTGGTGTTTTTTAATTTAAAGCTAGGCATATTAATGCAAATTACATAAACCATTGCCTATGTTTTGCTACTTACGACGTTAATGTGTAATGCTAAGAAATGGTTAGAAGAAAAGCTTAGTGACGACTTATCATATAGGTTCTTCGCCGACCACCCCCTAATACACAAGACAAGGGGTGAATATTTATTAGTTCTCCTTCCAATTGCCAAAACGCCTTGACGACTAAATGAAGAAGCGCACTCGTCAAGTGGAACCTTATGCAGCTACAAAATGTAAGTTTTTTTTCTCACCTTGCTTGTATATGCAAATTTGATTCATCCTTTTTTTGTTTTTGTTTCTAACCAATTAAGTGGCATGAGTATCTCCAGGTGAGCATGGAGCGTCACAACATGGAAAACCCTCCAAAAAGACAAAAATATGAAATTGGTGAATGAGACCAACAAAGATTTAGTCCATGTGGACATAATGTGGATATTCATGGCTATTTAATTTATTTTGTTGACCAAAGCAAGATTTTGAGTATGTTTGGAGAAAATTAATGAGAAATTATTACTAATAACCTTTTTATGAATCCCTTTTACAAAACTACCCTATTTTTTTTTCCCATTTCATTTTTGCCCTCTCTTAAATTTTAATGGCCATTTTACCCTAATTGATAGAATATTCTTTCCCAAAGGAAGGAATATCCCTTCCAAAAAATTTCTCCCCAAAAATTTCTCGCCAAAAATTTTTCCGCCATAATTTTCCCGCCAAAATATTTCTGAAAAAAATTTTCCCGTCAAAATTTTCCTGCCAAAACAATTTCCGCACAAATTTTCCCGCAAAAATATTTTTACAAAATTTTCCCGCCAAATATTTTTGAATGATTTACAAGGATTTTTAAAGGGTCTTTTAAAAGTTTTACAAGGGTTTTTAAAGGGATTTACAAGAGTTTTTAAATGGTTTTTAAAAGATTTGTAATGGTTTTAAAAGGGTTTTAGAAGCTTACAAATGTTTTTGAATGCTTTTCAAATGATTTACAATGGTTTTTAAAAGGTTTTATAAGTTTATAACAATTTTAAAAGGATTTACAAGGATTTTAAGGGTTTTTTTAAAAGGATTTACAAGTGTTTTTAAAGGCATACAAGGATTTAAAAATGGTTTTAAAAAGATTTACAAGGATTTTGAAAGATATTTACAAAGATTTAAAAATAGTTTTAAAGGATTTACAAGGGGTTTAAAGGGTTTTAGAAGTTTACAAAGGATTTTAAAGGGTTTACAAAGATTTTTTAAGGTATTACAAGTTTTTTTAAATGGTTTTTAAGGATTTACAATGGGTTTAGAAGTTTACAAAAGTTCTGATTAAAGGATTTATCACAGTTATAAGGGGTTTAAAAGGAATTACAAGTATTTATAAATAAGAGATACCCTAAGATAGCATCCTTTAAGTTTTACTTCCACATATACCACACACTCCTTAATTTAATATAAATATAATTAATTATTAAAACAAAAGACTAATATACCCTTAAATACAAACCCAAAAGATGTGTGTAGTTTCATCGATTCACTTTTCATCTTCACTGACGTTTATCATCACCGGAGAAATTCTCCATCATTGTCGAAGTCAGAGTCTCCATCATCTCCGACGAATCCTAACGTCTCTCTCTCTAACGTCGTCGATTCTCTCCGCCGTCGTTTTTCTCTGATTGTCTACGCCATCCATCGTTCGTCTCAGGTTGTTCGTGTCGTTCCTCTCCCTCTTCTTTTGAGTAGTGAATCCATTCTTCTTAATCGTTTTGCTTTGATAAGTTTTCTGAGTAGTGAATCAATTGTTCTTTCATTCGTGCTCGTAGTAGTGAATTGGTTCTCCGTAATCAGTTTTGCTTTCATTATAGTTTATAGTTTTGAACCAATTATGCTTAATCATTTTTATTTGATTAGTGTTGGGTGTAGTAAAACGACTATGTTCAATCGAAAATAGATTTTGGTTTGATGGAGAATGAACCAGCTTGTTGGAATAAACGTTGCAGATCCAAATTTGTAAGGTGATTTCACATTTGATTTAGTGTTTAACGAACTGAGAGATATGGTACAGTGGCATTTGTGTATCACAAGCTTTGGTTGTTTGAATCTCGTCAGTATAATTGAGTTATATTCAGCTTGTGGGGAGTGAAAACAAAATGGTAATGGAACCTGAGATTTTACACTCAATTGGAACAATGGAGGATCTCTTTGTGAAGTTGATGATAATATCATGTATAAGGTTTTAGCAAAGATGGTGATTGAAGTTCTCAAACTGGATTGTTTAGTCAATGCTATTAGTTGTGGACTTCCTCTAAGGATGAAGAGGATGACATAAGGTTCTTTACCAGTGTATATGAAGAATGATTGTCAAGTTCAGACGTTTTGTGAAGACCCTCCTGAATTTCGTGGAATCTTTTCTGGAGTTTGTGAAATCCTTCCTAAATTTTATAAATGTGTTTTTTAATTATTTTCTATAATAATTTTGCATCAATGTGTCATATATTACTCATTACTAAGGGGTAATGATTTTATTTTTGTGCACAACATCCTGTTGTTTTACTATTGTATCATAAATTCCAACCTTTTATGAAAGTCTACATGCACAATAAGGAACATTCGTATGTTGCATTGAAAGCTTTTCTGAATTTTCAAGAAGTCCTTGAAATTAAAGAGAACATGTAGCAAACTCATTCATCTTGTCTAAAAGAAACTTGTGACACTTTTATATTGCAAAAACATCATACAAGTACCAAAATATTCTAAAAATGTTTCACAAACATCATAAATGTCTATGAATGAATGTCATCTAATCCTTCTTGAATGTCAAGGAATTCTTCCTGAATATAAAGAAGTTCTTCCTAAATAATAATTATACTACCTATCTCATATAATTAGTTCTTGATCTTGGCTCCTCTCTTCGTTTTTGATCTTAGCTCCTCTTCAATGTTAAAATGGAGCTTAGGGGTTTGATTTCAAAATCTCTCATGTCCTACAATAGAAAAAGAAACACAGATCGTGTCAAGAAAGTCATTCTAAAATATGCATATCCTTTCCTGAATTTTCAACAGTGCTTCCTGGATTTTCGAGAATCTTAATTCAATCAAAATTTATGTGAGAAATTGCATGATATGAATGACTCCATGAGTAATGAGAAAGCAAAATAAGTATTCACAATGAGCCATCTTTCGATCAATGTAAGTTTCTAATACATTTACAAATGTTCAAGTATGACATCTTCAAATGAATGAAAACAAATATGTGAACATGTGGGAAAAGAAGACAGAATATAGCCTACGTAATTTTGGGTATAATGTACTGTGCTGGTACACATATGCACAACAAAAAAAACATGGTATAAGAAAAATAATGACAAAGCAAGTAAAAGTGAAAGAGATTACGTAATATTCAGCTCATTGTTTTGACTAATAAAACTCAAAACAATGAGAAACTATGGGCTGAATCAATTTTCAAAACAATGAAAAACTATGGAACTGAATCAAAAGGCAAAATAATGAGCTGGCTATATCGAGCAAAACTTAAAACTCAAGGAAAACTCAAATTAATTAATGGAGTTGTATCAAAACAATGAATTGAATCAAAACAATGAGCTCTTATGGAGCTTAATCAAATGGAGCTGAATCAAATTGGTTTACAAAATGGTGTTGAATCAAATTGGAGTGAGTCAACATGATCAACATAATCGTTAATCTAATGGAGTTGAATCAAATGAGCTGTATCAAACTAATCGTTCATCTAGTTTTAATTTATCAAACATATGCTCAAAATTACAATGAGTTAATCAACTATACTCAAACTGAAAATGAAACAATGAATCAATCAATACCTAAACCCAAGAAGATCAATGAGCTAGATGAACGGAGAATTAATGGAAGGGATGGTGGCTACCGCACCGTCAAATTCAACATGAACACCAACAGCAAAACATGAGGTATGGAAAGGCGACGAGAGACCGACGGATCTACGAATGACTGGTGCGACGACGTGATGTGGTGAAACAACAAGCTCCTGCGAGATGACATGATGAACGAGAATCCGGTGAAACAGAGACCGGTGAGCACGAGAATCCGGCGAGACGAGAAGATCCTGTGAGACGGCGTGATGCGTTGAGATGAGAAAAATCAGATCTTTTGGAGGCTAGGAAGAAGAAGATACGATGGTTTCAACATGGGTATTTTGTCATTTTGTCATTTTGTTTAATAAAATATGTTATAAAAGGAAAATGTTGGACCTCATGGTATTTTAGGCCCAAAAACCTAAAATCATGGTATCTTTATAAATTGCCCTTTATAAATGTTATAAAATGATTTACAATGGTTTTAAAAAGTTTTCTCAAGTTTTGAAAGGTTTTAGATGACTTTTAAAAGATTTACAAGGGGGTTTAAAGGATTTTTTAAGGGTTTTAAAAAATATTTACAATGTTTTTTAAGGAACTGGGGAAAAATTTTTGTTAAGAAATTTTTGGCGCGAAATTTTTTGGAAGGAACATTCTTTTTGTTGGAAAGAATATTCCTTTATTCATCATGAGTTATAATAAAGCAGGGTAATTTAGTCATTTTGTACATTGAAAAGACTATTTTTGAAATGGACACCTAGAGAGGGTATTTGTAGAATAGGGTATCATAAAAGAGTTAGTTGTGCAAATCCCCTAAAATTAATCATGAATTGTTGACAGTTAAGCTCATTTTTTTTGGTTAACATATCTGTTTTTGTGTTCACAAAACTTTTCGTTGATTGATATTTTGCAGCAAAATTGTTGACAGTTAAGCTCATTTAAGTTTACTATGATTTTTTTTGTTATTTAGTTGTATCTTGTGATTAAATTATATATAGAATAGGTGGTGAAAAAATTTCAAAATTTTAATATTTCTTTTTTATCTGTTTGCTAATTAGTGAGATAATGACAATAGTGAGATTTCTTTTGGTTGCTAACATTTTAGAAAAATCTGAGTTGAGGCAAAAAAAAAATACAAATAAAACCAGTGTTGTTTTGAGTATAATAAAAAATTTAATGTTTTGGAATTTAATTTTTAAAATCACAGAAAAATCCATCTGAATATAAATTGCAAAGAGTATAGTTGAATTTATTTATGTAAATGATATACAAAAATTGCAATTGTGACTAATGTCTTTTCATAGATACCTTTTTATAAAACTACCTTTTTTTTTGTCACTTTCAATCTTGCTATTTCTTAATGTTAATGGCCATTTTAACCTTACTTGAAAATTAATTTAGTCAACAAAATGAGAAATTGAATTTCATACATAAGGTAAAATATTATAGTAAAAATGGTAGTCAACACACTATTAGGATTTTTCCTGCTATATGTTTCCTTTCTACGTCCAATAAATAAATAGTTTACGATCATTTGTTTCTTGGACACAAACAAATCCAACAAATCTCTCTTTGCAACGTTCAGGTAAGATAATCTCTCTTTGCTCTCTCAAAGATCTTCTTCGTGTATTTGTTAACTGATGTTTTTAATTTTTTAATTTTAATATTTATGGATTTAGTTAGATCATGTATGTCTCCAGTCTCCACCATCACACGCTTATACGTGTTTATTTAGATTTTATCTATGCCAAAATATTTATAATTCATTGTTGGTTCCCCGAAATTCACAAGAAATAATATAATCATGTTCTTTCATGTGATGTGGATACATATTTTTCAGTTTTGTTTCAATGAAGGATCTTGATTACGCATTTATCATTTCTGTTGTTTGTTTTACTTGACAATATCATTTATTAGGTGTAGTTCCTATCGAGTTATGTCTTCATCTGGCAATGCAAATGAATCCAACAACACTCCGGAAATACCCTTCATTAAGGATCTAATGGTTCAGTGTGGGCGTTGTTTGAAATGGAGACTCATACCCTCTATGGAGAAGTATGAAATCTTAAGGGAAAAACATGTCGAAGTCCCCTTTTTCTGCGAGGCAGCTTCCGAGTGGGCGCCAAATCTGTCGTGCCAAGTTCCGGGATTTAAAACATCATGTGAGATGTGGGCTATTGATGCCCCTAGCATCCCTTGCCCCCCAACCGGATGGAGACGTCTTGTGCAGGTTCGACGTGGAGAGCGTGAAAAAAAATTTGCCGATGTGTAAGTAGTTCCATTGGCCTCCTGTTTCGATTCTCATTGTCTATATAGCTCCAAACTTTCCTTATTATTTTTTTTTTGTGTTGTTGCTGTTGTCTTTGATAAGTTATTATTATCCTCCTACTCCATTGTCAAACATAAGGCTTCGGTCACAATCCGAGGTCAAAATGTAAGTTTTTAGTATTCATTTTACTCTTTTTAGCACTTCAAATTCTTATAAGTTACATAACATCTTGCTGTTTTGAAAGTGTCATGTACGTTATAAGAAATTGATATGTTGATTGATTTATATTCACATTTTCTATCTCTTTATTAGAGTATTAGGTCTCAGGGTATTAATGTCTTACCATTTTTTCCAACTTATATATGGAGCAATTAGTAGGATTGTTTAGGAACACGTAGTTGGAACCTGTCATGCGACCATTGTGGTGATATTTATATAAAGATATGTATTATTTATGCAAATTACAGAAACCATTGCTAATGTTTTGCTACTAAAGACACTATGTATAGTGCCAAGAAATGGTTATAAGAGAAACTTGGTGATGTCTTATCAGTTATATAGACAGCTTAATTTCTTACGCTCTTATAAGCCTCATTGGACGTTGGTTAATTTACAGGTTCTTGGAAAACCACCCCGAGTACACAAGAAAAGGGGTGAATATGTCTCAATTCTCATTCAAATTACCAAAACGCCTTGACGACTATATGAAGAAGCATATTCTTCAAGAACCTAATGCAGCTACTGAATGTAGGTTATTTTGTTTTATATATTTTTCTCACTTGGACAACAATGTCACTTTTGATTATTTTTCCTATTATACGAATTTGTTTCCAGCTAATTCAGTGGCATTGGTATATATCTAGGTGAAGATGAGCATGGACCATCACATCATGGACAACCCTCCAAAAAGACAAGAATATAAAATCGGTGAATGAAGGAAGCCAACAAAGATTTAGTCCATGTGGACATAATTTGGATATTTGTGGCTATTTAAATTTATTTTGTTGACCACAGTAAGATTCTAAGTGTGTTTGGAGAAATTTCAATCATGTATTGTTGAAAGTTAAGCTTATTTGTTTTTAAAAAACATATAAGTAAAACCTCTATAAATTAATATTGTTGGGACCAAGATATTTTATTAATTTATAGTGATATTAATTTATCTATAAATTAATATTTATTATTTTATAGTGTAAATTAATAATTATTAATTTATAGTGGTATTTTTAATTTTTCAAATTTTTTAAAAATATGAATTGACATAATTTTACAAAAATAAGACAAATCTTTTAAATTTTATAAATTATTCAGTAGTTTGAAAGTGAATATTATATTTAGGAAAAAAGAAGTTTGACTATAAATACAAATATTATAGATAAATTCACTTACACAAACGATATATATATAAATTCAAATGTATATTAATAACCTCAATTGATATATTTTAACATCTTATATATATATAATGAATATGATGAGTTTGGAATTCGGAATTTGGTAGGAAAATTATTGTTATTTGACGAGTTTACTAAAGCATGCAAAATGAGAAAAGGAGAGTGTCACACTATGAAACCATCTTTTAAAAAGTACATTATGTTCGGAGTTGTGAGCGATGTGAAACATTTTATCCCGGTCTTCCAAAGTATACTGATATTTTTAGTAAGAGAAAAAACCAAATGGTTTTTTAAAGTAGAACTTTTAATTAAAATTTTTATTTTTGATTTAGGTTAGGATAATTTAAAAACTTTAACCCGGAAATTGTAATCGGGTACTGTAAAATTGGAAATTTAATTGGATTTTTATATAAATCATATATTTCTCTAGCGAATTATTCTTCTTTCATCTTTACTTGATCTTATTTTTAGTTTATTATATTACAATATAGAATACAAATGTATAAAAAAAATTCAACGTTTGTTTTACATATGTTGCAATTTGAAATTTTCAAATCGGATATATATACACAATTGACAAAAAAACGTGTATGTACAATGTCCCATATCGGCTAAACTATTTTTTTTTGGCAATCGTTCATCTATCTTAACATTTTTGAAGTACATTTTGTACTAAAATCTATTTTGGGTTATAACCTTTTATTTGGTAATATTTGCATAATCAGACCCTTTTCATCTCAATAAATAACAAAACTTAAAAGTAAAATTTGTAATTAAATCACAAGCAAATAACAAAATTGGAAACAAATATTTATTACATCAAAAACATTTCCTAGAATATATCTAATAAATTCAATCTCTCTCCAATATATTTATATAATCTTATTTTTTTAAAATTTATATTATTACATAAAACATATTTATAATAAAAATACAAAATTTTTTCCACACATTTTGCAATTTAAATTTTTGAAAACGGACGTAGTTAACTCAATCAATAAAGAAAAGAATATATGTACAACGTCTACATAAGATATAAAATTTTAGATAATAGTTCAAAATCTTTATAAATAAGATTTATATGTTTACAACTACAAATGAGCATGAACTTTGATTTTTCAAGTATCCAAATTAAAACTTTTATTAGCTTAATCCGGTTCTTTATTTAAGGAAAATAAAAATTTTAAAAAGTTTCAGAATATTATAAATTTTAATTTTTAACAAGTTTAAAATGTGATAAATATTAAAACTTTAAAAAGCTGAAAATTCTAATATTTTATTTAATTTTTATAGAATATTAAAATAATGAAAAATATTTAAACTCTACAAAAATTAAAAGTATTACTAATATTTTAACTCTACAAATATTTAAAATATAATAATATTGGACATAATATGATTGAACGGGTTTTAGTTTACATAAATATGATTATATTTTTCTGCGGGTTGTCTATATTTAAAATCTTTTACGGGTTAAGTTAAAATATAATCTTTTATTTACAACAAAATTGTCTCGCGATGTACCGCGGGTTTACCA